CATTCAAAGCTTGCTTATATTAACATATTTATTAAACCACAAGGAAATTATATTAAAGAAGAACATCTATCTTATTAGACTCCTAGCCTTAAAACGAACTATCCATAATCCTGGATGAGCACACGTGGAAATCAAGCAAACGCTACTCAGCAAGTTACTAATAGTGTTTATCTGCACACAGCAGGATTAGAAGAGATTGCAGTTTTTATAAAGATATATGTTAAGTGTTCCATAATGCCATTGTTACTGTATTTAATTACTCATCATCTCACATTTATCAAACAACTACAGCTATAGGCAACCAAGCTATGGCCTTGAGCTTCTTGGCTCAACTCTACAAATAACATTCTTGAGGTCATCATTAAAAGCGTGAAATTGTCAGATATTACTGCATACACAGCTCTGAGCAAACATTTGATAAATAAGCAACAAGCACACACCTAATTTCTTACAATACTAACATGTAAAATATTGAAAAGAAAATGATGAAACATTAAATGAAATCAGTACTTTGTTTTAAAATATAAGAACCTATTTGGAGCCTCATAAGTTTTTTATTTTCGAATCATTTTAATAACTACCAAGAAACGTCATACACAATAATTTAAGTAAAGAAAAGTGAGTGTATTAAGTTATTCACTATGCTCCATAAGGAGGCAATATCTTTATAATAGAAAAATGAAAGACAGTTAAGAGAAAAAAGAAACAAAGTTACTCTGAGTCCTACTCTAGAAACACTGTTACACATTAACTCTGGGGAGATGTGGGACAATTACAAAGCGCAACACTGTTTCTCTTCTGCCGATTTAAATGCCCCCACGTTTGCCCTGCCTACCGTTAGACACCTGGTATAGTGAGTCCTGTTTCATGCCTCTCCTTTTCTTGAAAGCTTTGGATTTAAATCATTAAGGTGCAGTAAAGGCCAAGTTGAAGCACACAGCCTGCTCAGTATTATCTCCAAAGACTAAACTCTAACTGCAAATGTCTTCCAAGAATAGCCGGCTGGACCTTCTCCTTTATGTGGAAGTGTCCTTCTGCAATGGCCTTCTTCTGTCTCCCCTCATGGATAGTCTGTGTTCACTTACTTCCTTCATGTTCTTCTCAGGGAAAGGAGGAGAATTCCACTTCACCACTTTGTTTTTTCTTCAAAATCTAACAGGAATGTTGAGGGTCTCTTTTCCTTATTCTTTGCTTGTACCCACATTTCCTCTCTTAAATGGCTTGTCTTGTACATATTTTCCCTCTATTTGGTCTATACATCTTTTCACACAGGGTTTGTGCTTTGAAGGCTGGGTTTCCCCAAGAGAAAACTGAGCACAATAGCCCGTTTCTCTGGGGATCATGCCACATATTTATTAGATTATGTTAATTTGGTTCAGTGTTCACAGAGGTCTCTCCGGTCATCTCTTCCACAACACTGCAAGTGTGTAGGGCCTGGAACAAGAATACTGCTCTCTGTATAATTTTCTCTTGTTCCCAAAGGTGCCTTCTGTTAAGTGTGATGCCATTGGTCCTCTAATTGTTGCTGCCAGCGTGACATCGTCTCTGTCACTGTCTTAACTAGATATAAATTAATAGTTTTAAATTGAGCTTTAGTTCAAGATAGGTATGAAAATGTTTTATGCCTCATTAAATGATATGTTCACTCATATTATCCGGGCATTTTTATAATAAATGTATTTAATGGTGTCCCTAGAAGGAATCTTTTTTAAAAATTAATCTAAGTGTGTTTACTTCAAGTGATAATGTTAAGGAATGAGTCACTTTCTTCAAATCAATAGTAACTGAGCATTTTGACCCAAGTCATTGCATATTTGAAACATTAGTAGAAATTGGGAATGCATGACAAGAAATTACTTTTTTATCTAATTTAGATTTCAAGTATTAAATTAATGTCCCTTTTAAGTGCTATTTTAATTAGAAATAAATCCTTCATTTTAATTCTTAGAATGCAATATTATTTTGCAAAATCCATCTTTTGATTTTTAGGTCGAGCTGACTATGTTGCTTTCCTTCCTAAAACTCTGAAATTATGGGAGAATCAATCCTAGGAATATACAAAGGATGCCTTCAGAGGGCAAGGAAAATTGAAGAATTTTTAAGTGTAAAAAACAGATGGGGTTTAATTGGAAAAGCTACCCTGTGGAGAGGAGCAGCTGACAACTCAAAGGGAACTCCATGAAAAAAGAAACTGTTACCCATGGAGCACTGAAAGTCTCCCAGGATCAGAGACATTCCGGTTTGGGAGCAAGCATGGTCCCTGGGGCAGCTGGCAAGGTAATTAATTAAAGTGGTGTGTCTCTGTTGTACTGGAATAAAGCTTTGGATCACAAGATGGAGACTTTCAAATAAATGAAGGACTTGCCTTAGGGAACTCCCTGGACTGGCTTGGTAACTTACTGCAGAGGAAGAAGTAGGGCAATGCCTAGTCAAGTGCCAGTGACAAATTAGGTCCTCAGTTTCCTTAAAGAGATCACAGAACAGCGAGCAGTCTCTATTTAAATAATAAACATTCCAATAGGAACCAAAGTAGATGTGTTTTAAAACTTGGATAAGAAAGCCAACTATCCCAATACAAATTCCAAAAGTCTTAAAGAAAATATTAGTATAGTTGGCATTATCATCTTGACTAACTATATCATTAAATAACTAAAAAATTGGGAGCTAGGGAAGCAGACAGGCTAAGTGCAGACCGTCATCTGTTCCCTTCCTCCAAACCCAGTTCCTCAGTCTCACCCCCAGCTCTGCAGCAGACCCAGTGTTTCTGTTCCTGCTTCTATCTATTCCCACTTCTCTCTTTGTTCTTACCCAGCTATATAGACCCACAAAACCTTGTAGGCAGAGGTTGCCAGGCAACCCACACAAACAAACAAGGGAAGTTTATGGCCCTTGGTGCATTAGCATTTTGTCAAATGTTAGTAAACTTCAATATTAGCAAGCTCATGAGCTTGATGCTTTTCAGAAGCACCAGGGAAAACACACACACACCAAGAAACACACATTAAAACAAAATAACAGGAATCAACAAATCTTGCTCATTGATAACTCTCAACATCCTTAATCTCAATTCCATAATTAACAGATATAGACTAACAGAATAGATGCAAAACAGGATCCATCCTTCTACTCTATCCAGGAAACACACCTTAAGATCAAGCATGGATATCACCTCAGGGTAAATACATAGAAAAAAACATTCCAAGCAAATGGACCCCTCCCAAGAAAAAGTTAATGTAACTGATTTAATATATAACAAAAGAGTCTTTAAGCCAAAACTAATCAGGAGAGTTAGAGAAGGATTCTACATACTCAGCAAAGGAAAAATTCACCAAGAAGACATTGCAATGCTATGAACTAAACACAAGAGCATCCAGTTCTTAAAAGAAACCCTACAACAGGTAAAATGCATATTACCCTTACATGGTGGCCGTGGGTGGCTTCCACGCCTCACTTTCATCAGGTGACAATCAGGTCATCCAGGCAAAACTGGACAGAGGAATAACAGAACTAACAGATGCTGTGACTCAAATGTAACACAGAAGAATATCACCTCTCAGAACCTCATGGAACTTTCTGCAACATAGAGCATGCTCAGACACAAAGCAAGTCCCAACAGATACAAGGTAATTGACATAAATAGCATCCTACATCCGACCTGACCACCACAGATCAAAGCTGGACATCAACAACAGAAACAACAGAAAGCTTACAAAACCATGGAAACTGAGCAACTCACTACTGAATGAAAAATTAGTAAAAGAGAAATTAATAAAAATTAAAATTTTCTAGAATTGAATGAACATGAATTCGCAACACGCCCATACTTACGGGTTACATTAAAGGCAGTTCTAAGAGGCAAGTTCATAGCACTAAGTGCCTACATTCAAAGCAAGACAAAAACTGGAGAGAATGCATACTAGTAACTTAATTGCATACCCATACAGTGATATCTTGTTTATGATCTATCAAATAAAGCTTTCCTGAAAATCAGAGTGCAAAACTAGCAACGCAAGTCAGTCAGGCAGGCCAGGCAGTGATGGCACATACCTTTAATCCCAACAGCCACACCAGCTAGCCATAGAGGCTGGGTGGTGATGGTACACATCTTTAATACCAGCACTAGAGAGAAATATAAGGAAGGATGAGACAGGGACTCACTCACTTTTCAGTGTAAAGCTTTCATAGAGATAAGAGTTCTCTAGTGGATTGGCTGTTTTGCTTTTCTGATTTTCAGTTTGAACCCCAATATCTGTCTCTTGGTTTTTATTATTCACGCTACACACCCAAAAGCTCTAGAACAAGAAGCAGCCACAACCAAAAGGGGTAGAAAACAAGAAGTAGTCAAATCAAGGCTGAAATCAATAAAACAGAAACAGAAATTAAAACAATGAATCACTGAAATAAGCAGTTGGTTGTTTGAAACTATTAATAAGACTGACACATTCCCACCAAAATTAACTAAAAGGCATACACAGAACATCCAAATTAACAAAATTAGAGATGATAGGGGAGCATAACAACAGACATTGAGGAAATTCAGAAAATTCTTTCTTTAAAAACCTATACTACATCAATTTGAAAAAATCTAAGAGAAGTCAAAAATTTCCCATATACAAGCAAATTATTGAAGTTAAATCAAAATCAGATAATCAATTTAAACAGACCTAGTACCCCTAGAGAAATAGAGGCAATAATTAAAATTCTATCAGCCATAAAAAAGGTCCAAGGTCAGATCATATTAGTGCAGAATTCTACCACACTTTCAAAGAGGAGTTAATGCCAATATTCATCAAATTGTTCCATAAAATAGAAACAGAATGGTTGAACAATGTCCAATTCATTTACAAGGCCACAGTTACCCCTAATATCCAAACCACACAAAAACCCAAAAAAGAAAATTACAGACCAATTTCCTTTATGAACAAAGAAGCAAATAACTATTCAATAAAATACTTACAAACCAAACCCAAGACCACACACAAAAAACAAAAATCACTCACCATTCACAAATAGGCTTCATCCTAGGGATGTAGTGGTGGCTCAACATTCATAAACTGATAAATTTAATCCAACAAATAAGCAAACTGAAAGACAAAAATCACAATATCATTTCATTAGATGTAGAGAAGGCCTGTGACAAAATTCAGCACTCCTTCATGAAAAAAAGTTCTAGAAATATTAGGAATATTAGAGTCATACCTCTACATAAAGGCAGTTTACAATGATTGCGCAATCACCTTAAATGAAAAGAAACTCAAAGTAATTCCACTAAAATCAGGAACAAAACATATTACCTATACCTATTTCATACAGTACTTGCAGTCTTCAGTAGATACCCGAAAAAGATCAAAGGGCTACAAAATGGACAGGAAGCAAAGTATCTTTATTTGCAGATGACATAATAGTCTACACAAGTGGCCCTAAAACCTTTACCTTGGAACTCCTACAGCTGACAAATACTTTCAGCAAATTGGGCTCCACAACCACCAAATCCACCCCCAGACCCCAGGCTGGGAGAAGGACATACATTCTACATACCAGTCCAACCCATGTGTCCACTTGTCTTCATCCCACTCAGGACATACCTAACCTCTAATCCCAACTGCATTCACACATCCTCTCTCCTTCTCCAACCATCTCTCCCCATGCCAGACAGAAAACAAAACCAAAAGTCCATATGACAAAATCTAATAGGAAAAATACAAGCATTGTTCAAGTTCAAGGCAGTAACTTTCCCCAAAACCAGGAGTCATGCAGCAATGCTTGGCCATTGAAAATGACCTTGATTAACCCCCAGAACACATATTTTAAGACAGCAAAGCAAATCTAAAAAGATGTAGTTCACCTAGACTAGCACCTAGGAAACCTATCTGCCAAAATTGAAAAAGAAAGAGAAACTGTCCATAATATAAATATTCTAAAAAGAAAATTATATCCATCAAACTAAATCTAAGGAAAATGTAGGAAGCACAATTTCAGGATGAAGAGAAGAATAAAAATAACCAAGAAACTGAAGGAAAAGAATATGAAGCTATAATTATCAAAATAGCAAGTACCACTGAGAATATAAACAATAACACCACTAATTAGCAACATAATGACTGCAATCAAATGACTGCGTTCAATAATAACTTTAAATAGTAATGGCCTCAATCCTCCAATCAAAAGACAGGAGCTAACTAAATGAGTTAAGAGGCAAAATCTATCTATCGGTTGTCTCTAAGAAACACATAAGAGCTCTGAAGAAATGAACCACCATAAAGGAAAAGGATGGAAAAGAGTACTACAGTCAAATGGGACCAGGAAGCAAGCAGGCATTGCTTTCCTAATACCTGACAAAATAGACTTCACACTAATCAAAATTCAATAAGAAAAGGAGAACTGTAATAAAATGACTTGTCATAAGCAGAAAAGATTTATATGATCATCTGGATTATTTACCATGTTCTTTGCAGGCCAGAAGAATGCAAAGTGATAAGCTCAAAGTACAGAGAGAGAGAAAGAAAGATTTTTTTTTTTTTTACCCAGGAAGAGAGTCACTTAATAGTGAAGAACAGATACAGCCATTTCAGACAAGCAAAGGATAGGAGAATTCATCACCACTACAAGAAACACTAAAGGAACTCTCAGAAGTAAAGAAGGGAAGACAGTAAACAATCAAAGGCACAGGAAGAATAAATCTCACTATCAAATATAAATGAATGAGAATATAGAATGCATTTGTAATAGCTGCACATAAGTCCCTTTGAACACTAACATGCCAAGGGCAAAGCATGTCAAGATAGGAATAAATGCAGAGATGTTAATGGAATGAACAAAGGAAGAGGTAAAATTCTGGCATCCACTACTGAAGAGTATATAGGAGCTGAAGCCGACTGACCGACATACTCTGCCCTCCTATCAGTCATTACAATGACACCCCCAACCCCCACCCCCGCCTCTGGGTTCCTCTAGACTATAGCTGAGCTTCAGTCATTGTACCTTATGTAGAGTCTGATATGCTTAACCCCAGCTCCTTTGGTTCTGCTCCACCACTAGAGACTAAACTGTGTTGATATTTTTGAGTGGTAAAAAGATACCAGCAACTGTGGTTTATGAAAAGTGATTAACATGTAAAAAGATTAATGTCTTTGATACCAATTTTTTTCACAGAAAATTATAGCATCAGTTTTTCATTTGGTCTTCTTCACTTTCATGTATTGCACACGACTTGATTTAGCTTAGTTAGCCTCAGTAAAAGTAATTTGGAATGTTGAAACAACTTTTTACAAGCTTTTCAATTATTTTAGTTCTAAAAACAAGTTAGTTTGTCGCTATAGATACCAGACAAATATTTTTAGCAAATAAGATGGCAAAATTAAAATGACAAAAGACAGGTCAGGTCCTGTTTGGAGTATCAGGGTTATAATGAACACGCGGTACACAGAGAGAGGGGCACAAAGGGGACAGGAGGGAGGGAGATGGGAAGGGGAGAGAGAGGAAGGCAGGCAGACAGACAAATGGGGTGGAAGAGAAAAGCCATGCTTTAGTCTTCTTTTTCCACACATCTACTGATTTAATGACATTCCAAGACAGCTGGAAAGTTGACCACTTTCACTGGATCCATTGGAATTCAATCATGACCAGGTTGAAAGAGAAAAATCTGACTTTCACATCCTCCCAAGAGTTCTAGGAAACAAACATCCTTAAGCGCAAACTCTGTCAGAAGCAATCGGCAGATGACAGTTTTTTTTCCAACCTCCATCTTCGCCCCACAGCTTTTCCTCTATATTAAACAGTACTGACTGTCCAGCTAAGAGGACCAACATGAGGTGTTAATATGTATTCACAGGGTCATTTTTCGGGGACTTGGCACTAAAATTCCCTCGTGGGCTGTGATAATTAGCATTATCATTATTGCCGTTACTTTTCTTGCAGCAACCCTGGGCCAGACATGCTCGTCGTAAATTTTATATGAACCACAGCTCTAGGCTTCTAAGGGAGCTTAGAGCTTCTAGCTCGGCTAGCCCACTCAGTAACTGATGTCTTGGGTCACTTCTCTAATGCTCTGTGATTACACTTTCTCCTGACCGTTAGGAAAGGCAAACGTCTAGGTAGGCAAAACTACCCCTCTGCTATTAGGAGGACCGCAACCCAGAAGCAGAATCAAGGCACGGAACTGAAGCCTGAGCGTGGCGACCTCATTGCCGCTGTTCTTCCCTGCAAATCATGTGATTTCTTGTTCTGTACTCATCTTGTGCTTTTGTCATTTAATAGCACTGGCAAATTAATCATCGGGATTATTAAAAGACCAGGGCGTTTAAGTGGTTGCCTGTTGTTAGAATCAAACACAACTAATAAAAATGCTTCCTTTTCGGAAAGAAATGCATTTTTCCCCCTTAGAAATTTTAAGGGCTTCTCTTTCTTATCAAGTTCTTTTCAGATTTTGACAGATTCACTAGTCCTATTTCTGACTCTTGACCCAACACCTGATTGTATCCTGTAGCTTGAGCAACAGGAGGCAAAGGACTTGATCCATCCTCAGACAAGAGACATTTAGAACTTGGACTTAGAACACAACTGCGCAGTGTTCTAAGCTTCAGGATTCGGTTGCCCATCTGAATTGAAATCTTCCTTTCTATGCTTGACCTCAACTGAAATAGCCGGAATTTTGCTTTTCTCTTAACCATCCTGGGAACTCCACAGAATTTCCCCTGTGTCTTTTCAAAGTGAAAAGTGTATCGAGAAACGGGACCTGCATGAGACTCCTCGGTGAGTCTCGCTTGAGATCTGCACACATAGTCCTTTGGGGCCACATGGAAGTGTGAGAAGCTTCCGTATTTCCCCACAAAGTTCTTTGGTCAATATTTCAGGTGGACAATCTTAAGAGAATTTTCTGGAGCCTGGGATCTCTGCTTCAGCGGTTCTTGATTTCCCAAATATTAAAAGAAATCAGGAGACTAGCTAGAGATAGAAATACCAGACTTATATGACTGAAAAGGCTAGCCCAGGATAGGTCATTTTTCTGAGTTGTCCTAGGATTGAGCCAGCCTTTCTCTTTTTTTCCCAATATATCCTAATTGTCTGTACTAGTCCTTGGTGGGGGGGGGGGCACCAATAAGCTTCCATTACATGACACAGAGATTTATTAGTTTGTAATGCTCAGTCTAGGTCAGCCCATTTCTGGCTAGCTCTTTTAACTTAACCTGTTTCTCTTTATCTACCTTTGCCCTTATTATCTTTCTTCTTCTATATATCTACTTTCACTGATTCTCTATATTTGGCTGGCTAGCATCTCCCTTCTCATCCTTCCCTGTTTCCTCCCCATCCTTCATTGAGTCTAGAGTTCTCTTATGTATTCTCTCTGCGTGCTACCCCCACCTATCCTTTCTCTGCCTAGCTATTGGCCAGTCAACTCTTTATTAGAACAATCAGGTACCTTAGGCAGGCAAGATGAAACAGATGGAACACATCTTTACATCATTTAACAAATGTAGCATAAACAGCTTTCACAGTTAAAGTAGTACTCTGAAGCACAAATAAATGTAATAATGCATTTTTGTTCAGTTAAAATAATATTCTACAACATTACTCCAGCAAGCCAGAGTTACATCCTCAAATTTCAAGGTCTAAATTCCCACTTCGGATGCTTATTCCCTTCCAGAATGCCCTGCTTTCTATTCACAGAGACCCCGGTCCAGCCTGAATAATATGTAGGCATTCTAACCTAGGGCTAAAGGAAGAAAAATGATCTTGTGAGAAAAATGTGGTCCCTAAAAAAAGTGAAGAGCTAAACAAAGTCCATATCTTTAATGCCCGGGTCAAGGTAGAGGACTACAGTCAATATAATCAGTAGCAAGTAGACACATCTGAGCATTGCTCAGACTCTTACAGAGAATCCATCTCCAGCTCTTCTACCCTAAGGTTGAGTATCCGACGCTAGAGAATATTTTTCATTTCATCTCCATAGCTATTTAGCAAAAAAAGAGAGTACACTTTGAACCAAATGTTTTATCTTGCTTGAAAATTAACTCGTGTAGCCGGGCAGTGGTGGCACATGCCTTTAATCCCAGCACTCGAGAGGCAGAGGCAGGCAGATAACTGT